ATACGCTCTCATTTCTAGAACAGACCGTTTCCGAATGTGCATGTTTGAAGCAAGGCATATCTCCTGGGAGGTGTAAAGGCCTTCATTTTTCTCCAGAAGAGTAGAATGTAGAGTAAACTGATCCCAAGGGAGGAGGTGGTAGGGATCTGGCTAACCCACTTGGAGCAGCTTTGAGCAGGGCTATTAGCATTATGAGGCGGTGGGCCCTGTATTCCACACCACAAGGCACATGGTATATTTCAGAGGATTTTCCGTCTAATCTGCTAGTATAACTCTTTCCAGACTGTAGTTTAGCACCACGACTTATCCACTTTTCAGGTTGCACTCAGCCTCTTTTCTTTCTTAGCTGTCACTTCAGCCTCAGGTATCAGCAGAACCAATAGAAGGTTCTCATTTAATCTAGTTTTTGTCTTCTCTTCTATTTCAGGTAAGAACTAATAGTGGAAATATGAAAAGTTCTTATTTCAACAAAGCTTAGTCATAAATAGTTCCCCCATTGATGAGAAAAGCTAAGACAACAAAACAGTGAAATTCCCAAATCTGAAAGCAAGAAGGCTTCATCTCTAAGAATCAAATTTCACAGCCACTCTAGATTTTTACTCCAAATGGATAGTTTGATTGCAGAAATCACAGCTCTTCAGCCTGCAAATTTGACAACTACGTAAGAGACACCAATACCTAGATTCACAGATGATCTTGAGATGCCTAACCCTTTTCTCTCCCCACCCCCATCCTGTGCATAACTGGAGTCAGCAGCAGCTGGAAGAAAATGTCAAGGACTTGGGTCAAGAATAAGTCAGAATAATGTCATGGCAGACTATTCATCAGCTCTTCAGCACATGTCCATTTCCTTGAAGGATGAAAGTTTAGAAATCTCAAAGAATAAGGTTGATTTTATATACATTCTGTTGCCTGTCATTTTTTTTTTAACAAATCAAAATTACAAAGTTTTCTTTCTCCAGCTAACAACAGGAAACTCAATATGTCCACTATATTTATATCCCAGAGTGACAGCAACCAAGTCTGGGTGCATCACTTCATTCCAAAATTAAATGTTATTGAACACCTGGTACTAAATACAAAAACTACATTGTGTCTCACACTCTGGGAACTGAGATAACTCAGGCAGAAAAATCTGCCTTCACAGGCATCTGTAAACAGAGCAGCAGTCTCATACATGTCTACCTGTGGGGGACCCAAAAAAAGGATGAGAGAATCACTGCCAGAGAAGGATCCTGAGAGTTTTTGTTCACTCTTGTACTTCTGTATTGGTCTAGCAAAAGTTGCATCCTAGAGGTCTCTGTTTAGAATACACAGGGAGAAATAGTATATCTACAGGAACTGGTAGGTTTCAGATAACTCCACTCTCATTTGGAGTTTTTTTCTGAAAATAATTTCTGAAAATAACTACCCATTGATTTGTCTTTTGCAATTAAATATAAAAGCCAGACATCTTATTCTGAAGCTTTGAAACATATAAAGTAGCCTCAAACTTATCAGATTTCCAGGCTTGAAGGCTGATTAATGTAAGAAGGACAAATCCTGGATGGCAGGAAAGGATCCTTTGATGGGTGTATACAGCAAACTAGTGATTTAACCTTTTCTTGTACTGGTAGGTAGTATTGAGGACTGCCATACCCTCCTGCAAGTGGGAGACACATAAAGGGCCAATTTTTAGTCCAGGACTCAGATAGCCGTTCAGTGTCACATATTTTACAATGTCCCTCAAAATTATTTACTTTGAAACATTTCAAACCTCCAGAAAAGTTGGAAGAATACAATTATCACCTTTATTCTGTTCATCTCAATTCAACAATTAACATTCATTTCTCCTTTTCTCTGTCTACATAGACCCACACCTGCATTCCTATTACTTTAGTAAATGCAAGCCCACGTCACCCCTAAATACTTAAGCATGTATTTCCTGATATTAAGGGCATTATCCTGTATAACCATAATACAATTCAATTATCAAATCTAAGGACAATATTAAACCAATAACATCTAATATATGCTGCATAAATTTTCCCATTGTTTAAAAAATGTCATAGCTATATACACATGTATGTATATAGATAGAGATGCATTTAATATCTGTGTCTATATCATATATATACGAGAGAGATTAAGGATTAAGAGTGTGTGTTGTGATACCGATATTTCCCCAGGCTCTAATTAAAGTTCCCAGATTTCACTTCAGTCCTTATTACCTGGAACTCTCTCCCGATGTCTTTGTTTTTGTTGTTTCTGATGATATTACATTTTCGAAGAGGACAGGCTAGTTATCTTGTTCAAGATCCTACCTTCTGACCAAACAACATTTTTGAAAAGAACAACACATAAGTATTTATGTTTCCTATTGCAGCTGTCAAGAAGCAAGCCATCCAAGAACAAAGCTACACAATACTGTGAACATTCTTATGTCGAAAATATTAAAGGAAACGCAGCATCTGCCAGCAGGGTTAGTCCTCTTGGTGTGGCAGCAGTAACCTCGGCTCCAATCCAAAACCGTAGTGCCTGGCTTCTATCTTGACAGGGACTGATTCTTTCAGTTTGTTTTTAATCCCAGCACTGACTGTGACCCTGTTTTGCCGCCAGAGATTTACTGCTGACACACCAGCACAATGTGGTCAGAAGGGAAGGAAAACCCACAGTAAACACTCCTAGTGTTTGGGAAACTTGGACATGCCCCATCTATGAACATGTGCAGAAACTACTCCAAAATACTTCCTCTCTAGGAGACTTGTCTGTAATTTCCACTGCTGAAACTGTGCCATCATAGCTGTTTTTCTGGTTGGTATTTAAAATAGTGGAGGCTTTTTAGGAGAAATGAGGATGACCTTAGTGCATTTTAAATAAAATCCAAACTCCTGTAGCCATAGGTCTACACAGGTTTATCTCCATTCCCCATCAATATGGACACTAGTTGTTCTAGCACCACTTATTGAACCTCATTGAACTGAAATTTTTACTGAAAACCAGCTGACCAAATAGATGTCAGTTTTAGGGCTCTCAATTCAGCCTATTTATTGGTGTATCCTGCTGCCACTAGCAATTTGCCTTGCCTGCCATAGCTTATAATAAGTCTTTTTTAAAGATTTGTTTTAGAGAGAGAGGGAGAAAATTTCAAGCAGACTCCCTGCTGAGCATGGAGCCTGCTGCCAAGGTGCTCCATCCCATGACCCCTGAGAGATCATGACCTGAACCAAAATCAAGAGTCGGATGCTCAAGCAACTGAGCGCCCCAGGCGCCCCAGTAAGTCTTAAATCAAGTAGTGTAAGTCCTCTAGTTCTCTTCTTTTTCAACAGCTCAATTTTGAAAAATGTGAAACTCTATGTAAACAATTACATAGATTAAGATGTGCTGTCATTTTCATCCTTTTCATTTCAGTGTAGGACACATGCCCACCTATGTATTGGTTGACCCCTGTGGTCCAAGGTTCTCTATTGTACCCTCTAGGAAAAATAAATCTCCTATTGTCTGCAGGCTGAGGAAGAGGCAGAATGTCTGCAACACTCAGCAGAGTCTGGATTTTTCCTGAACAACAACAACAATAAAAATTTGGATCACTTTTCTGGCCTTTGATCTTAGGAAATGTTTCCTTTACTTCTTCCTGAAACATTTCCAACTGTGAAATAAAGCCTCGTGTTATTTATAATTTTTCTTTATAGGAAAAGAGTCCTATGAAAGATCCTTAATTTGTTAACCTGATTGTAAGATCTGATGTTGCAAATTGGAGATTAAGGAAGACTTGACTTTTCTTTGCTTATGAAAGAAGATGGGAGAGAGGCAAAGATGTGAAGTGGGAAGAATAATCTGGAACCTGAACACTGGTTAGGATTTGGCAGTGAATGTCAGTTTGGAAAAGGGAAGTGACTGGATGGGCATATCTAGGGAAATAAAAAAAACAACTTTAGTGGAAACAACAGACAGCTGGGGTGCCTGCCTGGCTCAGCTGGTAGAGTATGTGACCCTTGATCTCAGGGTTGTGAGTTCAAGCCCCGTGTTGGGCATGAAGCCTACTTAAAAAATAAAAGTTAAACATATTTAAAGTCCCTTTTATGACATTGCTTATTTGCTAATATATAATTCTTTTCCATCTTTGTAAATGTGGCATAGTTGAGCTTGATGTGTTATATGTTTTTTTAGAATGTATATTTTTATTTTTTTTAAAGTATGCCCTATGCCCAGTGTGAAACTTGAACTCACCACCCTGAGATCAAGAGTGGTATGCTTTACTGACTGAGCTAACCAGGCACCCCAGGAATGTATATATTTTTTTAAATGACTATTTAGATATTTATCTGTGAACCTCTTAACCACATACATGGCCCTATCAGCTGTGCACTGAGAGTAAAATGGGCCCAACCTGGAGATCTACCTGGGAAAGTGCAATTAAAATTAAGGAGAGGGGTTGTGACTGTCTCAGAAATAGTAGCTTTCCCTAATGTAGCAGTTTTCCTTCACACCTGATCCTTTCTTCTTTATTTTTTAAAAAGTTTAAGTGATCGCTACACACAACATGGGGCTCAGACTCACAACCCAGAGATCAAGAGTCCCATGCGCCTCCGACTGAGCCAGCAAGGCACCTCCTTTCTTCTTTAAATAAGGGCAAATGAAAAATAGAAGGACTCAGTTGCACCCTTGGAATCCACAGAAATCTGGCTGAGGAAGTTCAAGGCAAGATTAGAGATTGCCTACTCACTGGTAACCTGGCCAAGGCTGTCTGTTTCCCTTACTTTGGCAAGGACACTCAAGTCACTTTCACCAGCCATGGGAAGACAAGGATCCGGATGAGGCTGACTTAGGGTAACTTTAGATCCTGAAATCTCACAGGATTTCTTCCCTTCTCTTTGAACTACCTCTGGCCTGCCTAACAGGCGGGATTCACTGCCTTTCTTTCTGGTCAGCACTCTTTGGGGGGTCCCTCACGGACATGTGCGAGGTAGGCAGCTGGCTTCTGTGTGTCTCTCCCAGTCTGGTTGTTTTTCAATGACCAGAAGTGACTCACGACATAACTCCCTACCTGTGGGACGAAAAGGATCTGGACACCAGCGCAAGCTGTAGAGACTGCATACAATTAACTCCCAGCTGCCTGAAGCGCACCGCTCGCTTGCTCCCTGGATTTCCGGTAAAGAAGAAAATACTATCTCTAAATCTTCTCCGCAGGCTAAACTGAATGAAGTGTGAGGTTCCAAAAAGGTCAAGAAGAACCTTACTGAGTCAACCCAAACCCCAGCCTGGCCTTCCAGGACAGGCTTGAATGAGGCTGATTTTAGGATAAACCCAAAGAAAAGGAGCAACGATAGCACAACTCGAGGATAGGGAGACTAAAGACCCAAATCTTAACCTCTGAATGAGGTAAGGGCCATGAGTTGAATCGGTTTCCCACATTTATGAAGAGACTCATTAGCCCAACTTCAGGGACCAGGACGGCCGTGAGAGCGCACGTCAGTGGTTCTCAACAGAGGACGATCTTGCCCACCCCCACCCCTTGCCCACTACGACATTTGGCAATGTCTGAAAACTTTTTGCTTATCACGACGTGAGGGTGTGTTTGGCTTGTACTGGCATTTGGTCCGCAGACGCCTGGGAAGCCCCAGCCTACAATGCAGCCAAATAGCACGCAAGGCACGGCAAATCCTTCCGCAACAGTACCAGTGGTGCGAGGTTGAGAACTCCTCGTGTAGATCACTGTCCACACTTTGTTTACTAGACCACACTAATTACTGACTTACGGATATGGAGTCTGGGGAAAACTGGTGTGTCAGGGAGAACTCTAACATTTTGGTCTGGGCACACGGAAAGATGGAGATCGCATTAACTAAGGCGGGAGAACTGCAGGGGCAGCAGGTTGTGGGCGGGAATAGACCCGGGGTCCAGTTCGGGGCCGCGGGGCCCTGCTGAAAGCGGTCTCGGTGGGCGCCGCCTTCGTTGCTGCGTCTCCCGGAGTCCACCGGGTGACGCTGGGGACCCGGGAGTCTCACGCCGGGCGCCTCCCCCTCCCTCGTGTCCGCACGCGGCCGCCTCGCGAAGGCGCGCCTGAGGGCGGCTCCGAGGCGCGGCCGCGCGGGGCCTCAGCCGTACGCTCTGGGCCTTGCAGACCTGGCCGGGCTCAGGGCGCGCGTCTTTGGCTTCTCCCAGCGCTCAGTGCGTCGCCGGAGGGCTTGGTTTTGGGGGAAGCAGGGAAGGAATAGTCCTCTGGCTCTTCCCCGGAGGAAGGGCGGCAGCCCCAAGGGTGGGTGAGTAGTCGGAGCTTCTCGGTGCTCAAGTCTAACGGAGCTACCGCCAGTCGGAGGCTGCGAGAAAACGAAGTAACACGTGGTGCCCTGGTGACGTAGTGGCTGGGACTTGGTGCTTTTCCCCCACCTGGGCTTGGGCTAGATTCTTGGTCAGGTCACGTTTTGGCAACGTCTCCCTTCACGCAGGAATTCTCTTTATCCCTGGGTCCTTGGTGTGTTGCCAAAGCCGCATGCAGAAGAGGCGCCGCATGCAGACGAGGCTCCGCAGCGCGTCCCAAAGCTCCGGTGAAGAAGGGGGAGTAATGGCGGTCCGCTGGTGGCTTCTCAGACTCAGTGCTCAGCACCCAGCTCCTCACGCTCGCCACAGGAGGCCCTCTTACTTGGCGCGCCCTCTTTTTCCCGTTCTGATCCTATCTCCATTTCACACACGGGCCGGAGTGGCTGTAATAAGCCGCTTGTCCAAACGTACACAGCCAAGCGCAGAGATGCAGTCTCGCCCTGGGTTCAGGCCCAGACCACGCTCTTGCTGTCGCCGCCCCTGAGGCGCTCGCTCTGCGGACTGTGACAGTCACGGCCTCTGTGCTTTCCTCTGGAAACGGGCTGGTCCGCTCAGCCTTTTTGGTTCTCTTTGCGTGTAAACTGCTTTTTGGGCGTATGGAGGAGGTGGCTGCCGGAGATCCGGAGAGGAAGGGAGGGAGGTGCGCTGTGGGTGAGGTCCTCGCTCTCCCAGATGAAGCGCTGCGGTTGTCCGCGGGTCTTACCCTCTCCCGAAACAGGACACAACTTTTGTAGGCTCTAGCCAACAATGAAAGGGTTTTTGTGTGCTAAATCTATATTTCTCAACAAATTTAGATATCATTTTTTTTCCTGCCTTATTCTCTCTTTCCTCTTCTTGAACTCTAAATATGGTAGAACCTTCGGAGCGCCTGGGTGGCCAGTCGTTAAGCGTCTGCCTTCGGCTCAGGTCATGATCCCAGGGTCCTGGGGTGGGCCTCCCTGCTCCGCAGGAAGCCTGCTTCTCCCTCTCCCACTAACCCCGCCCCCCCGGCTTGTGTTCCCTCTCTCACTGTGTCTCTGTCAAATAAATAAATAAAAAATCTTAAAAAAAAAACTTGTCTTTAAAAAATAAATAAATAAATATGTTAGAACTTTTGATATTGCCCTATAGGTTGCTAAGGTTCTGTTTATTTTTTTCTCAATTCTTTCTCTTTGTGCTTCAGGCGGGATGATTTCTGTTTCTCTCTCTTGAAATTCATTGAATTTTTGTCATTTCCATTACTCAATTAAATCCATCAGTGATTGTTTTTTGAGAACTCTTTCCAATTTCCAATTTTACATTTTGGTCCTTCATTTATTCTTTCTATTTCCTGATAATTTTTTCTAACTTTTTATGTATTATGGTTATATTTTTCCTTTACAATCTTGAAATAGTTATAGCTGTGGCTTAGTATTTCTTGCCTCCTAGTTTCAACATTTGGGTGATGTCTAGGTCAGTCTCCCATGATTGTCTTGAGCATGGGTAGAGTAATATCAGAGTAATGTATTAGAGCATTTTGAGTTGTATTGTGGATACTGTGAATGGTACACATACAGATTCTGGATTGCTATGTATTACAAAAGCACTGAATTTTTATAAAAGCAGGTCTGGTTGATATCAAACTGCAAATTCTCTCCCTTGCAAAGGATGACAGGTGAAATCTCAGTTGTCACTTTAGATTTTGCTGAACTACTTGGAGGCTGCCCAACATGCATTATGCAGGAGTCAGCCAGAAACTTGGGCAGAATTTTACAAACAACTTAGAACTCCCTTTCAGTGGCTTTTTTCTTTATGAGATTCCTCTCCACCTCTTGTTTTTTTTCAACTGCTATGCTTGCCCAAGCATTGTCCTCGGCTCCTTTAATCCAGTAAGACAGTTTGGTTTTGTACTGGAATTTAGCTGACCCAAATAGGGCAGACCAAGGTGTGCTCTCAGCCAAAATTTTGCAAAGTGGAAAACTCACCATGTCAATTTTACCTTGTGTCTGCCTGCTTTTGTTCAGTCTCCCCAGCACCTTGAAGTAGTATTTTATTTATTTATTTTTAAAGATTTTATTTATTTGACAGAGAGAAACACAGCAAGAGAGGGAACACAAGCAGGGGGAGTGGGAGAGGGAGAAGCAGGCTTCCTACGGAGCCTGATGCTGGGCTCAATCCCAGGATCCTGGGACCATGACCTGAGCAGACACTTAACGACTGAGCCACCCAGGCGCCCCAAGATAATATTTTAAAAACATATGTTGTCCCCAGTTTATAGTTGTTATCTGTAGGAGTACTCTGAAAAAAAGTAAGCAGCCATTACCAGAAGTTTAACTTATTGTCTCAGCAATGGCAGCCTAGCAAATTGGGCTTGAATCTCTGCATGGCTGTCTAAGCTTGGCACAAGCAGCTTCATGGATTTCTAAAGTCACTCCTGCCCCGAGTCTGAAAAGGAGATATGACAAAAACCAGGGTGTATGGAGAAAGATAAATAGGGGGCACAAGTAAGGGGATTGGCCTGTCCAGAGGGTGAGGAGGTGGGTCACTAGCAGCACTTTTGAGAAGGACTACAGCAGACCATCATCACTTTTCTTCCTTCATCAGTTTTAGGGCTTCACAAATTGCAAGGAGACCAGACCCTTCTACATCCACCCCATTATGGTATACCGCCAAACTCCTCTGTTCACAAAGGATATTGCTCCTCCATGCTGAGACGTTACAAGGAAGCACATTCCCTAGCCAGAAATTGAGCCTGGGCCGCAGAAGTGAAAGCCTTGAATCCTAACCACTAGATCACCAGGGAATTGACCTCTAGGTCTTCTGCCCTCTGATGATAGCTCCATTGGAATGGTACTCCTGCTGGTTTCTTCCCCCTATCCTTCCCTGTCTTGCCTGCCCCTCCAGGGATGGTCTAAAAGGTCCTACCCTCCAAATTTTCTCTAAGAAGCAAGCCCACAGGCAATGCACCAGATGCCCTGTCCCCCAAGCAGCAGGCTGCCTAGGCGGCCAGGTGTAGAAATCACGGAGGGAATTTGCACCTCTTGGCTACAGACCTGGAGATGAGCCTTTTCACTGCGACAAGGAAGAGACCAGGTTGCTGGGAGGAAGGGGGAGGAGAGGCTCCCAGGGTGAGGAGAAGCTGAGCGCTGAGACCCAAGGGATACAGGATTCAGACGCATGCAGGAATGGAGATAGGGTGGATGAAGAACTCTTTCAAGCAAGGTCCTGAACAGAACTCCCATGTTCTCCCTAACACATTTTGTACCTTACAGTGTTTCCTTGTCAGTTGGAATCCTTTGTTCCCATCCTTCCAATTCTCGGAGCAAAAAAATTTAGGAGTTCTTTTTGACTCCAGTATTTTGCTCAACCCCCACATCTAATTAGTCAGGAATTCATGTTTTCCTGTCAGTCTATTGACCTCAGAGAGTCGGGGACCTGGGGCGGCAAAGGAACTGAGAAAAAGAGACGACAGTATAGCGAGGCACAGGGGACCCCGAGCAAACAGCCCGAGGTGCCGAGGTTTATTTTCCAGAATCTAATATACCTTCTACAATGATATAGATCTACAGGGGCTTACAGCAGGGGCTTAATAAAGCACATTCTTCCATGTACACAAGGTTAGTCAAGTGAAGCAATGGCAGTGGAGAAGGAAGAAAGAAATCTGCAACTGGCTGTGATCAATTAATTGTAAACACCATTGTACTCGGACCTTAACACAGGATGAGAGAACAAAGAAGGGAATGCACAGTGTGCTGTTTACAGCTGGCTTCCTATCTACAAAACATCTTCTGTTGTGTACTTTAGAACAGACCACACACATCCCAAGGGCATTTCACTCTGATCCTTTCAGGTTATTTTTAACCCTGCAGTCTCGAGTTTTCTGAGATCTCGGAGTCTGGACGAACATGCACCAGTGGTCGTTGTGGCGTTCTGTTTCCCACATCAGTCAAGTATGGATGTTGGTCCATGCTATCCTCCTCTTTCTTGATCTTTGAATTAGAGCAAACAACTCTCTTGATAAAAGTGGAGAAATCAATTTAAACAAGTGATCCTTGGCTCGCTCAAGGTCTTAGGTTCCAGACACTTAGTCTCAGGATAGTTAGGTAATGTGAGTTGATGTTTGGGTCTGAGAGTGAACAGTCAAGAAAGAATTCTTGAGATGTTTTTCAGTGCAAAAAGGTGGTTTTACAGGCATAGGACTTGTGGGCAGAAAAAGTTGCATTATAACTGTGAGGAGTGACAGATAATATAGATGTTTTGTTTTGTTTTTTTAAATCCTGTGAAGGGGAAGGTGATGTTAGGGCTCCAGGAAATTGAGTCTATAGGTTCCTGGAGGCCTGGCTATTATTAGGATCGTGGTTTTCTTGTAAAGTTGTAACAAACTTTAGTTTGTTGTAACATCAGTTTCTTGTAACAAACTGATGGAGTTTCATGTCCTGCATGACTGTGATCTTTTTTTTTTTTTGACAGAGAGAGAGACACAGTGAGAGAGGGAACACAAGCAGGGGGAGTGGGAGAGGGAGAAGCAGGCTTCCCGCCAAGCAGGGAGCCTGATGCAGGGCTCGATGCGGGGCTCGATGCGGGGCTCGATGCGGGGCTCGATCCGGGGCTCGATCCGGGGCTCGATCCGGGGCTCGATCCGGGGCTCGATCCGGGGCTCGATCCGGGGCTCGATCCGAGGACCCTGGGATCATGACCTGAGCCGAAGGCAGACGCTTAACGACTGAGCCACCCAGGCGCCCCATGATTGTGATCTTTATCAGTTGACCATCTGTTTTCTCTTTGTTCTTGGGCAGTCATTAGTGCTTGAGGAATGTCACACATATCCCACCTTGGGTGGGAGGGGAAGGAGTATATGGAGTGCCAGTTTGCCTTTTCCCCTCAGCTTGCCTTTTGTTATCTCATCAGTGGGGTTGGCTTGTTTTCTCACCTTTTCTTTGGCTCTGTCCTCAACTTCAGCCTCTTATTGGCCTACCCGCTCTTTGTGCCTCCTCTCCTCTAGCAGAGTCAGGAACCCCACACATTCCTGTTCAGCCTGCAGGGTGGCGCTTTGGTGGAATATGACAGGATCCTGAGAGGCGCAGGTGCACTTGAAGTGAGATTATGGTTTCCCCAGTGACTGCAGTCCTTCACACTCCTGTAAAGTAAAGGCAACTGCTCCCTTTGTTCTGTCCAGGAGGGACCCCAAAGTGTCCTACAAACAGAAAAATGATGGACGGATCTTCTTCTCTGACTAGGCAGGGAAAGAGGGAGATTGATCAAGGAGGGAAAGAAAGGGGGAAAATGTCATGAAATTTCCTGATCTAAAGCTACCTAGAAGTCTGCCTTATCTGATGCCCCCTGTCACTGATGAGAGTGATACGGTCCATTCCTGCCCTGGTCTCCAGTTTGAGCCAGAGTTGAAAAAGGCCAACCACCTCAGCCTGGTGTCTAATAAACCCATTGGATCTTTCAATTACTCAGTTGCATTTTTGCTCTTTAGCAGAGGCAAACCTGAAACTTTTCAGACATTACCTTTCTCTGAAAATTATCCTTACCTCTTTGCTAAA